TACAAATATATTCTTGAAGGAAGTAAACCTGAAAACTGGAAATCAATAGGTAAGTTTTTTGTTTGTTTCTGCTGATGTTTTAAAGGTCAACTGAAGTTATATTTTTGTTTACGTGGATGTTAGCTATCTTATAAGGCAGACTTCAGACTAGCAACCAGAAATGTATACACACACACACACACACACACACACACACACACACTTCTCTATTGAGAAAATAAGATAACTATTTACTATGTACACATAAGCCTTTCTTTATGCTGATATTAACAAAACGTGTAATATTTACATGGTAATTAGCATCACTACGAGGCTTGACAGAACCAATGAGAAGACCAATAGGTTTCTATTTTTGTAATCAGAAAAATTGTAATATATATGTTTATTTTTGTTTCCTATAATTGTTAAGAAGAAATCGTATTTGAAAATCACAAATCTATTTTAAAATTCTAATTATTAAAGATAAATATCAGATTTTTAGAATTTACTGATCTATAAATTACACATTAAAAAAGGAGCAAGACATCACTCACTAATGAATTGTGTTATATAGACTTTGGTTATTAAGTGAAAAAATGTCATTTTCTTACATCTAATAGAATAAGAAACAATGGACTTCAAATTATGAATGTTGCTATATTATTTTTAAAAGATGGTAGGTATCAAAAAACCTACAATAAATATTTACAAGTTTATTTATTTATTATATTTTTCTTTGTAGAGATAAAAGAATAGGAAATAACAGAAAGATAGGGAGGAAAAAAGAGAATAAGACAGCTAAAGAGAGCGGAAGAAAGCATTCAGTCAATATTTACTTGGTAAGATCATCTATACACTAACATATTTCAACATAAATTATTTTCTTCATCTATGGGATAAAACAGGGAAAACTTAAAAAGACACTGTCACACACACACACACATACACTCTCTATTACCAGTCACAAAACAATCCTAATGTTCAATGGGATCAAGTGAACAAGGTTTTGTACCTGAGAACAAAGCAGCATAACAAGCTCCACCACAGATGTACTGGACTTCATACACACAAGGCCTGAAACAAAGAAAGATTACAAGATGAGTCACAGTGAGAGCAACCATCAGTCTGTGTTAATTCGTTACGTAATTTTTCATTATGTAGTTTTTTCACTTACAGAAAACTTCCTTTAAAACTTTACTAAAATAAAATGAATGGAAATGCTTACTAACATATGTTGACATTAATTTAAAAATATTGAGCTATTCAACATAATGTGAATCACACTTGAAAAAAATCAGCTTGATGCTTTCGCTATTTAATCAGTCAAGGCATTTTTTAAAATATTAAAACAAGTTGGGGAATGGTTATTGAGAATGATGAAATACAGCTGCTTTTATCCCACACACAATTGCTATGTGATTGTCCCTTGAAGTGAGAACAATAATCACTGAACATCTACCTATATTACCTCCCAAAATAAAAAATTAAAATAATTTATAAGTGTATATAAGTCACCATAGCTTATCTGCTAATTAAATGACTTTGTAGAATAACAAATGAATTTTGTATACAATGAACATATTAAGCAATGTTCATACAATCGTCCATTGTTCTGCTTCCAATCCCTAAGAATAGATACCAGAAGAAAAAAGTAATAATGAATGAATGTACTAATGTGTATGTAGTAGTGGCTACTACTCATTAATCACTTACTATGTACTGAACTCTGTGTTAAGTGCTTTATGTCCATGATCTCGTTTAATTCTCATTATATTCTGTGACATAGTAGTATTATTATTCCTATTCTACAGGTGAGAAAATGTTTTCTCTATAGAGCTTAAACACTATTCATCAAGACTTTTTCCAATTAGGATAACTGCTGTATAACACTGTAGATAACAAGCAGTAAGATCATAAAGTTCTTAAAAGTACCAACATAGATGTAGTCATAATCAAGAATTAATAATCTCAGAGGAGAGCATTAATCATAATGTTTGATCATTTAAAAAATATTTTTAAAAGTTTCTGTTATTTTTCATATTATAATAATAAATAGATTCTTTCTTTCTTTCTTTTTTGAGAACAAATGCAATCAGTACAAGTATCTAACAGAAAGAAATCCATGGTCTTACATTAGTTGTCGCTAAAGGGAATGCTGCAGCAAAGCCAGCTATTTATTTATTCTTTTTAGGATGAATTCAATAAACAGTCTCAAAACCTTTCTAGTCACTAGCTTGTATATTTATTGTACATAGTGGATAAATGCCCTTTTGTGCCCATTTTGCTAACAATCTATCCTTATTGTACAGACAGACAGAACAAGCTGTAAAAAAGCACTAGTGTTACATCTTATCAGATCTTTGGGCAGACAGTTAACTAATGAAATAAGAGGCAGATGTGAAAAGCTCATTTAAGAGACAATTGGTGTAATTGATCAGCAATTCTCATGTTCAGGAGCTAGAGTCAGAAAGATTAATGGGGCATTTATCACCTGTTGGCTACTCAACTACTTGGATTCTGATAAAAAAAAAAATTAAAAAAAAAAAACCTAAGTAAAAGGCCATAGGATCATAATTAAGATATGTTATACATACTGGTTTTGACAAAAACAATTATTCACCATACATTCTATGAATTAGGTTATCTGAATACATATCAAGTTGGAATAAAATGATACAAAAGATAAAATATCTAAATTTGATTTTTAGGCTCATTTTAAAAATGAACTTCTAAGAACCACTATGTAGCAAGAGCATGTATAATTTTTAGAGATACTATCATTACATTATAAATGCAAAAAACTTAAAAAAAAGAAAAAAAGAAGAGAGATTCAGTGACTAGTTTCACTAGGTGGTGGAATTCAAGAAATCTAATTCCAGATCCCATTTAATGTCTGTTGAAGAGCTACATAATTTTATTTTAATAGGATAGTAATATACAACTTTGAGAAAGGTTATGATAGTTAATTCAAACTTGGATGATTCTGACAGTTTACTTGATAAAAGTAGCATATTTTGGTCAGATATGGCAATAAAAAGCAGTTACCTTGAGCACAGATGAAGAGAAAACATGAAAAAAAATTTAAAAAAATTTATAGCTCAGGGGATGAATGGTTAGATTACAGGGGGTATTTAAAAGTAAGACTGGAGGACTGGCCCTGTGGTCTAGTGGTTAAGTGAGTTAGTTCCTACATAGGTGACTGTATGGTTCAAATCCTGGACCTGGTCGTTTCAAAACACGCAGGCAAATATGTATAGGTACCAAAAATCCTTCCAGGAGAAGATGGAGGAGGAGAGAAAAAGGGACGGTGTTATGACCACACTACATTACAGGGTGCTTTTCCCCTTACTCCCTCTTTCTTCTACATTGCTCCGGTGAATGTCCACACCCTCTTCAAAAAAAAAGTAGGACTGAAGCTAGAGTAAAATTCAAAGATAGATAAATCTTTTTAAAAATTATAAATGGTTTTGAAAACTAAGAATAATTTAGAACAAAGTAGCAAAATTAGGGGAAAAAAGTACTAAGGATAAGTTATAGCATTTTTATTTCATGATGACAATCTGTGCCTAGTCAATAAAGAGGTAGCCCTGAAAAAAAAGCTATATAGAGAGTTGTCAAAAAAGCCATATGTATTTTTCTGTTTTTTATTCTATGTAAAGATGCTTCATGATTTCCCCAACAACCTAAAATATATGCTTTCACAATAAAAATACAGTCAGGTGTATGGACCAATTAACAGAATATTTCACCAGAAAAATATACATTCACTACAACAAATATTCTGACCAGAAATACTGACAGACCAGTATCTACCTTTCCAGTATCAAATGAACATCTAGAATGTAGACAAGAAGCAACTGAGGGCCTGGAAGAACGAGGTGTGCTAATATGGGAGGCACTCTACTGGTCAGCTCTACCTAGAGTCCTTGAATAGATTATGAATTACATTGCTGTAAGAGGAAGTCAGCTGAATGGCTAAGATGTAAACACTTAAAGGTTAACTAGGTGGACAAATCTGAGGTAGCTCAGATCCAGAAATAAAATGGATATAGTTGGAACCAGCAGATGGCGTAATGGTTATGTTGCAGGACTCCCACATGGCTGACTGCGGTTTGAGTACAAGACCCCGGCAGCTTAAAACTCAAGCCCAGCACCTGTGCATGTGTGCTCAAGATCTTAATAGGAGAATGGAGGAAAGGATTGCAATGTGGCCATCCCTCTGGGGGTGGGGGGGAGGTTGATATCTTGCTTTTGTCTCTCTGTCTCTCTGGCGAGCACATGCACCCAATAGAAAAAAATGTCTCAAAGGAAAAAAAGAAAAGAAAAGAAAAGAAAAGGAAATATGGATATAATAGCTGAGTATACCATTATCCAATAAACATAGTTCTTTTGAGTTCATATGTACTAGTGGAAGGAAGTCAGTTTGTACTTTTATGATTACACTTTATCCCCAGTTAAAGACAAAACAAAACAAAAAATCTGCCACAAAAGATAAAACAAATTAGAAACCAACAAATTGTCTAAAGTTAGAAGCTTGCTCTTTAGGAAAATGTTATTTTACTTTAATAAAAAGACTACTGAAAGCTACAGTGATGTTTTAAGAAAGAGCTATCAGACTATTTAAATCAATCTGTGGAACTGACTTTATGTATCTGCAGAACTTGAAGATCAAATTCAAAGAGCCCTTAAGTTGTATCATAATGTGGAGAAATTATTTCTCTAGCAGAATATTCTTCATGGAGGGAAGTGTATTATGTATTATAATGACAATTAAGGGATCATACTTTTCTTTTTTCTTTCTTTTTTTTTTTTTTAGAGGTTTTTGCCTTAGGGTCCACCCAGGAGAGAGAAACTGAGACAGTGAGAAGGAAAGTGAGAAATCACCTCCTGGGGGGATAGCCATACTGCAATCCCTTTTCCTCCCTCCTCTTCCTGGAATCTTGGGCATGCACACACGCTAGTACAACATGATCTTCAATTCACAGGGTTTGGTACTCAATCACAGTCGGACACGTGGGAATTCAGTGATGTAACCTCTCCTCCTGGAATCTTGGGCATGCACACACGCTAGTACAACATGATCTTCAATTCACAGGGTTTGGTACTCAATCGCAGTCGGACACGTGGGAATTCAGTGATGTAACCTCTACGTCATTTGCTGGCCCTTAAGGGATACTTTCAACAGGACTCATCTTTAAGTAATATCAAAATATTCTATCAGTAAAGGTCCTCTTCTAAGTCAAGGGTCTCTGCTAGACATCGATGACTAGGGTAGTGTGCTTTGAATACATTCTCAATAAATATTAACTAAATGAGTACATCTAGACACCGTCATTCACTCAGAAATTACTGTAACTGAAAGAGAAAAAAGGTGAAATTTTGAGGAAAAATAACAGTTTTTAAATTGCCAGAGGGCAAATGTACTCACCAAAGAGAGAGAAAAAGAGTGGGAGAGAGAGAAAGCATCACTCAACGGGGCATGGTTCTACTGTAATTTTTTTCCTCGATTTCTCCATCCCACCAGGATTTAGGGGACACACACACGCCTGGTGTGATTTTCAACCTGCAGGGCCTAAGATTTGATCCATGGTAGGCCATGCAGGATCCGGCTTCAAGTTTATAGCACTTAACCACTTTGCTCCCAATGCATAGCTCTTAACCACTGTGCTATACAGATGGCCAAAGAGCACTTTTTAGAGAACAAGAACTCAATTCATTCTAAAAGCATTTACTAAGGACAATATCTAATGTGCCAAACATTAAGGCAGGCACCAAGTTTAAAAAGAAATGAGGACAGTAGGGTAGAGTCTCTAACACTTTGTGTTAGAGACACAAAAAGGGTGTCTAGCAATACAGCCCAGGAGAAAAATTTATGGGGAACTTGACTCAGAGTTGGATGACATTGAGCCTACTTCAGTTAAAAAAGAAGGGAAATCATTCTAGGCCACAGAAAAATGTTGAGGTATAAAGGCATAAGTCAGTAAAATGGAGTTGGAATATTATTTTGTGCTGCACAAAATAAAGGAAGGAAGTGACTGGACTTAAGGAGAGGGAGAAAGGCAGGGCATTTTATT